TCAATATGTATGCTGAGCGAATGATCTGAGAAGATGGATTATATGAAGAAAAACATGGTGGCATCAGAATTGAAGGAAGACTCATTAACAAGCTGTGATATGTAGATGATACAACCTTGCTTGCTGAAAGTGAAACAGACACAAAATACTTATTGATGAAGGTCAAAGGCCACAGCCTTTGGTATGGATTTCACCTCAATGTAAAGAAAACAAAAATCCTCACAAGTGGATAAATAAATAGCATCCATATAGATGGAGAAAAGATTGAAGTTGTCAAAGACTTTATTTTGCTTGATTCAACAATTAACACTCATGAAAGCAGCAGTCAAGAAATCAAATGACATATTGCATTACGCAAATCTGCTGCACAAGTCCTCTTTAAACTGCTCAAGAGCAAAGATGTCTGTTTGCAGATTAACATTTTGACCCAAGCCATGGTATTTACAGTAATTTCATATGCATGTGAAAGTTGGACAATGAATAAGGAAGACTGTAGAAGACTTGATGCCTATGAGTTATGGTGTGGGAGAAGAATAAAAAAGAACAAACAAATCTGTGTTGGTTGGAACAAGTACAGGCAGAATTCTCATTAGAAGCCAGGATGGCCAGACTTTGTTTCTCATACTTTAGATATGTTATCCGGGGGGACCAGTCCCTGAAGAAGAATATCATGTTTGGTTAAGTGGAGGGTTGGTGAAGAAGAGGAAGACCCCTAATGAGGTAAATTGACACAGTGGCTGCAGCAATGGGCTCAAGCGTGGCAACAATTGCGAGGTTGGCCCGGGACCGGGCACTGTTTCGTTCTGTTGCGCACAGTGTTTCTATGAGTTGGTACAGACTCATGGCACGTAACAACAACATAACAATCACCACAAATTATCATTGCATCCTAATTGCATGTTCAATCATTGTGAGACTGCAGAAGTTGATAAAAACCTTTACTTGAAATTCCCTTTTGATGACGAATACTATACCATTACTCTTCAATTTATCACTACTGGCATAATGTATCACATACATAATGTGATACATAATGTATCCAACTGAAGGTGGCCAATAGCAATTATTTTTAGCTCACTAATGTTAAGAATATCTACTTACAGTATTTAATTTCTGACAACTTCCACTTTTCCTTGATTCACACTTCATACATTCCAATTATTAATCAATGCTACAATTCCCCATCAGCAAATGAAGATCCTAAAAATTTTGCTCCTTTCGTAGCATCAAGATCCGCTCTACTTGGAGGAGACAGTTCTTC